CAAGGCCAGCCTGGTCTACATAGTGAGTTTCAGGACAGCTGGGGCTACAGGGAGACCCTGTCTCAAAAAGACCAAAAAAAAAAAAATTAAATTTAAACATGATCTTCTTTTAAAATTCTATAGCCAATAATATTTTACCTGCTCATAGGCCTTGATCTTAAGTGATGTCTCTGGAGCAATTTTTAAAACATTTGTGCCATTTCCTTGCCAAAGAGAAAAAATTCCTCCTTCCTTTACCATCTGCTTGAACCCATGAGTCAATCTCATTTTCCCTGTATCTGAACTATAAACCTAGAAATAAACAGAAAGTTTATTTAATTATTAATTAATTTTGTAGGCAATTTAAAATTATTTCATTTCTAGTAAAATAATGTTACATATATAACTTCATAATTTTCAACAATAATTTAATTTTCCTTTAGTAATATAAAACTATTATCATTTTTCTTGTCCCCCAATACATACATTAATCACAGTAGTCTTCCTTTATCTACAGTTTTGCATTCCATGTTTCACATAAAGTGAAACCACAGAAATAAACATTTCTTGTGTTTCAGATTGCATACTGTTCTGAGTAGTACCTACAGTCTAGCCCTACCTTGCCCTCCAGGGTCATGAGTCACCTTTTTCCAGTGCACACATGCGGTACATACTACCCACCCACTAGTCAGTTAGTGGACATCTACCACAACATTATCACCACAGTGCATATGTTCAATTGGCCCTTACCTTACTTCAAGAGGTCCCTAAAGTTTGAGTAGTGACACTAGCATGTAGGTGTGCCAGAGACAATATAAAGTGCTTCCTCAACTGAAAGGATGAAAGTCAAATAACTTTCACTGCAGTCTATTATTATGATTGTTCTATTTTATTATTCATATTAATATCTTGTGCTAAATTTATAAGTTAAACTTTATCATGCATATGTATGTATAGGGTAAATACAGTATTGTAGGGTTTAGTACTGTCTATAGTTTAAGGTATCCACTAAAGATCTGGGAAATTTTCTTCCAGAGCAGTAAGGACTACCGTAATCTAAAACAGCAAAGAAATGAATAACAATTTACGGAAGACAGAAATAATTAACCAGAGACTCTCAACATAAACAAAGTATGTTGCTACCAGAATATTTCAAGATTATTAAAAGGTACATTGAAATATGCCCGGAAGACAGAATGGATGAAATACACCAACTTTCAAATGAATATTCTGAGGGATCACAGTATTACGGGTTGAACTGTAGCTCTCAAATTGATATGCTAAGTTCTAATCCCTAGTCCTTCAGAATGTGGTCTTCTTTGGAGAGAGGGACTTTGAAGATGGAATCAAGTTAATCTACCATGACATGAATTCTTATAAAAAGAAGAATTTGGACACAGAAAGGAAGATAATCTGAGGAGATAGGGAGAAGACAGTCATTGTGCTGGATAACTTCAGTTGCCAGCTTGACACACCTGGGAAGAGGCATCCTCAACTGAGACACTGCCTCCATTAGATTGACCTGCGATCATGTCTATGAGGCATTTTTAATGTGTATTAGTGTATTGCCTGCATGTATGTAAGTGTACCTGTGTTGTGCAAGCCCAAGGAGGTCAAAAGAGGGTGTTGGATCCCCTGGAACTGGAGTTATGGATGGTTGTTAGCTGCCATGTGGGAATTGAACCCAGGTGCTCTGTAAGGTCAGTCAGTGCTCTTAACCACTGAGTCACCTCTCCAGCCCCAACAAGGCATTTTCTTAATTGCTAATTGCTGTGAGAGGGTCCATCCCATTGTGGGAAGTGCCACCCCTGGGCAGGTGGTCCTAGGTTGTATAAGAAAGCATGCTGACCACAGGCCAGGGAGCAAGGCAGTAAGCAGTGTACCTCCCAAGTGCGGGGGCGGGGGGGGTGGCAGACATACACCACTACCCAGTCAAAAAATTGTCATTTTTTGAAATTGTCAAAGAATAAATAAAATATTGTAAAATGTTATTTTGAAAAACATAGAAGTTAAAACATTAGTAAAACACCCTATTGTCCATAACACAGAAGAACAATAATGGGAGAGAAAGGCAAATGGGCATTTTCATCTTTTGTCTGACAAAATCAGGAAAGCAATTCAGCTCCACGTGTGCATGTATGTGTATGAGTATGTGAATATGTGTATGTGACTCTAAAAGTGTTCACATGGGCCAAGGTATGGTTGTCTTTAGTCCCAGCACTCAGTAGGCAGAGGCAGGCAGATCTCTGTGACATAGAGGCCAGGCTGGTCTACATAGCAAGTTCCAGGCCAGCTGAGCCTACAGGGACACCCTGTCCCAACCCACCCCCTCACCCCTGCAAATGCTCACATGATTAAACTTAACAGGAAATGTTTACATGATTAAACTTAACAGGAATTTTTTTCTAAACAAGCAAAAAGATTCATAAAAAATGGTGTTCTGATCATCATAAAATTGTAACAGTTTTTTTAAAGGGTTTAAGAATCTGCATATTTAAGAATCTTCTATATGACTAAACAAGGTAAGACATCTAACTGAAACATTTCACTGTGATTAAAACTTTTTTTGAGGAATGTGAAGTAACAAAAATATGTTCATGTTATATTATTAATCACAAAATTATTTAAATACAAATTACTTAAAAAGCAGTCATTACTTTCTGAAAATATTGCATGACATGGGTGCACTTACCTACATGCAGGCAAAACACTCATATCATAAAATAAGTCAATATAGCTTCTCGGCCCTGTAGTCCTTTCTGGCCCGGAACTCACAGAGATCCACCTGCCTCTGCCTCCCAAGTGCTGGGATTAAAGGTGTGCGCCACCAAGCCCAGCAAAAAAAAAAAAAAAATATATATATATATATGTTTAAAGAGATGTAATGTATAAAAGTGATTATTAATGATCATTTTGAGTGGTCAGAGAAAGTTTTCTCACTTTTCTATTTCTGGATCTTAATAGGAATATAATTATTGTTTTAAAAGTAATTTTTTACTATTTACTTAGAGACAGAGTGATGTTTAGCCCAGCCTGGCCGTGAACTCCAAATCCTTCTGCCTCAGCCTCCTGAGTGCTGGGATGACAGACAAATGCCACTATGCCTGGGAAAAAAGCAGAATTTTTAAGGCTCAAACACAAGCCAAGAAAGCTTAATGTGCCTTGACAAAGCAGCAGCCACGCTGTGTGCACATCTCATGTCTCTCTAAATGAGAGCCTTCAGTTATGAGCACTACTTGACAAGCACTATGTTAAGCACTTCATAAAACTGTATTTAATTATTGCTTATTAAAATTATTACTCTGGTTTGGCTCTTTATAGAACTGATAGGAAGTGGTCAAATAGCTGGCCAATATAGGCAGAAAGGAAGTATCAAAGCCTGAGTTCAAATCCAGAGAGCCCTGGATATAAATGCCTCCTGTTAAGCTATATTAAATTACCTCTGACCACACAGCATGTAGATCTTTACCCTAGTCACAGTTTTCCTTGTATAAAGCTTACTCAGTGATGCCTCTACTAGTAAAGAGGACAAATCATAATGAACCCAATTCTCAGACTGCCATATCTATAACTGACAGCCAAGTGATCTGATCCAGAGAAGCATAAAGCAGCAGACTTCTTTTTCTCCCCTCTTCCATCTCCACCCTCCTTCACTCCCTTCTTACTCTCTCTTCTCTTTCCATTTCATTTATTAATATTAATTTATGTGTATGAGTGTTTTACCTGCACGTCAGTGTACTATGTGCATGCAATGCCTGCAGAAGCCAGAAGAGGGCATCATATCCCCTGGAACTGGAGTTACAGGTGCTTTTTAGCCACCAGGTAGGTGCTGGAACTGAACCTGGGTCTTCTCCAAGAGCAGCCAGTGCTCTTAACTGCTGAACCAGCTCCCCAGGCCCTTCTCCATTTCAAACTCATTTTTGTTTCTTGATTTTTCAATATTGCAGATTCAACCTAGGGCATGAGCAAACACTCTAACACTAAGCTGTTTTCTCCCGCCCTTTTTTATTTATATTTTGAGACAGTCTCACTAAGTTGCCTGAGCTGGCCTTGATCTCTACATAACCCAGGCAAGCCTTGAACTTGCAATCCTCCTGCTTCAACCTCCACAGTAGTCAGGTTGCAGGCATGTACCACCACACCTGGCTTTACCTCATTTTTCACTTATCATCCCTCCTTTTTCTCTCTCTTCTCTATTTTCCTTGTCTTTTCCCATCCTCCCCCTACTCCTCTCTACCCAACTGCCCTTTTCCTTTCCACTTTTTCCTTATTTCTATTCCCCTATATTTGTGCCAAATACTTTTTCCATTTGGGATTTTTTTATGGTTTGAGAATTTCATACACACATATTTTATTAAATTCACCCCCATTCCCTCCCCTCAATTCCTCCTCTATGCCCACCACCATTTTACCCTCTCAGTTTCATGTGCTCTCTTTACAAAACAAACAGGCAAACAAACAGTCCCACTAGAGTCCCACTAGAGTCCCCACTAGAGTCCATCTAGTGCTCCCTATATGGTCACAAGTGTAGAACCATCTACTGGAGCATGGGTAGCCTTTCTGGGGCTGCATTCCCAAGTAACGCTTGCTCTACCTCCCCGAGTAGCCACCAATAGTAAATCATTTTTTAGCTGGGGGTGGGACTTCATGAGCCCCTTCCCTATCCATGCTGAGATTTTGTGTGGCTTTATCTTGTGCAGGTCCTGTGCATGCTGTCCCAGCCACTGTGTGAATTTACGTGTGCAATGGCACGGTCATGTCCAGCAAACACTGTCCCACTGCAGGTATCACTTGTATTAGTCAGTGTTCTCCAAAGAAACAGAACTGGTAGAATGAATATATATGTATAGAGATTTATCAGTTTAGCTCACAGGATAGAGTCCAAGTAGTCCAACAATGGCTGCACCACACTGGAGAGGCTGAGACTCCGTAGTCGCCTCAGTCCACGAGGCTGGATGTCTCAGTAGTCCCAATCTGGCACTGAAGGTCTGACAAATTCCAAAAGATCAGCTAGTCTTCAGTCTACAGCAGCAAGACGAACTTATCAGCAAGTGAGAAGGCAAGCAGCAAGAAGCCAGGCGCTCTCCTCTGCCATGGCCTTTTATATGGGCTGCCATCAGAAGATAACACCCACATCATCTGATCTTCCAGCTTCAGATGATCCAATCAAGACGATCTCTCTCATTTCAGTTAATCCCAGATCCAGTCAAGTTGACACCCAGGATTAGCCATCACAGTTACATAGCAGAATTCTGAGATGCAAGGGGCGTGGGGAGGGAGGAGGGAAGGGAGAAGGAAAGAGAGGAGGAAGGGAGGAAGGGGAGAAGGGGGTAAGGGGAAGAGAGAGAATAGAAAAAGAAACTTCAATAACAGCATCAACCAATTGACATTTATAAAACACTACATGCAACAACAGCAGAATACCTATTTTTTCTTCAGCTGCACATGTAAAAATCAATAAGCCACGTAATAGTACATAAAACAATACATTTTTAAATTATTGAATTTATACAGAGTATGTTTTCTACTCTAGTACAATTACACTAGAAGTTCATCACAAAATCATAGAAATGCCAAAATATAGGAAAATAACAATTTTAAATGGCATGCAAAGAATTTGAAATCACAAAGGAATTTACAAAGTATTTTTAAATCTTAACAGAATATGCCAACTCACCTAAGGCTAACACATCAGAATGGCAACCAGCCCTTTATAACAGTCCAAAAATCCAACTGTGGAGCAATGTATTTCAAACCCTGAAAGTAAATAGCTCCCAACAAAAATTGCTATAACCAGCAAAGCTGTCTTTAAAACTAATAATGAAGTATTTATTAAAGACAGATACAAACTAAGGCAATTCATGACCACTAAGCCAGTACTGCAGAAGACATTTAAAGGAATGCTATACAGAGAAGGAAGAAAGTCTCAATCACAAGAACTCAAGAAAGAACAAATTTCATGACAGAAATAAACAAAGGAGAGCTTGGAAGGAGTCCATTATGTCTAACACATTAAACCAGCAAACCCCTAATTCTAACAGAGGAGAAATAAATGAATAAACAATCCAACTAAAAAAAAGATAACCATTAAAATCATAGGAATTAGTAAATATCCCTCAAAATACCCTTAAATGTCAATGGCCTCAGCTCACCAAAAAACAGATACAGGTTGGTTGACTGGATTAAAAAACTAGGTTTTGCGAGAGTAAAGATGAGTAAAGATGCTTGCTGCACAAGCCTGATGACCTAAATTCAATCCCTGGAATCCACGTAAATATGGAAGGAGAGAACTGACACCACTAAGTTATCCACTAACCTCCATATGCATACTGTGGCATGTGTGACCACACACATATATATCATATACACAAAATAATAAAAATTTTTAAATTGTTTTTATTATTTTTATTTTATGTGTATGAATTTATCGTCTGCATGTATGTGAGTGCACCCATGTCGTGCAATGCCACGGAGGTCAGAAGAGGGCTTTGGATTGCCCTGGAACTGGAGTTAAGGACAGTTCATAGCCACC